GGGTGGTGGGGGGGTGGTGCAGTGGGCAGGTTTCCTTAGAGCCATCTAAGCGCTTAGTTAAATCGTGTCTTAGGGGAGGGGAGAAATAAAATACCTCCTGTAAGCCTTTGGTGCCTGCCAGGGCAGCCCCGCTTCTTAATTTGATGTGCTGTAATTAGCCTGGCCGCTGCAGGATCCCCGTCAGCTCCTGCGGGCTTGCCTGCTTCTGCCTGCTCTCTAATTGCTGCTGCTTCGGGAGAAAAGCAAATAAACCACTAAAACTCGAAGTGTTTTGTACAAATCCCGAGCTGTAAATTATTGAGGAGGTGAAACAGAAATGTGCGGTGTGTTTCCAGGAAGCAAGAGACTGCACCAAAAATGATGCGGCGAGGCTTGCGGCTCTGCTGCGATGTGTCTTCTGCAGAGTCATGTCGTTGGGCGCCTTTTTTTTCCTTTTTTTTTTTTCCTTCTGAATATATTTTTGTTGGCTGGTGGCCCAGAATAGGTAGCAGAGCAAGAGGCGAGGGCTTGTGTAACACAGCCGAATGATTTATGTGCTCGGCTGTGCAGTTGGGAAGTGTTAGGGTCTATGGTCTTTTTACCTTCAGTGTAGAAAGCACCTTTGGAAATACAAGGTAACGTTGGCTCATTTCTCTCTCCCTCTTCTAACTCAGCCTGCGGTTGTTTGCAAATGTGTTTTCTGTTGCTGCGTGCTGTATGGGGTTGTGTCAGCCTTTCTTTTGATATGCCTTTTGTTCTTGGTGTCTTGTCTCTGCTGGCATAACTGATGTTAAATCCATGACAAGAGGTCTTCATCAGGAAGCAGAGGTCTGAGTTTGTAGGTAGAGTTTCTCTTAGGGATGGAACAGCCTCACTGCAAAGGAAGTAAGAGAATAAAGCTCTGGAATTGTGGATAGGTGGAGATAAACAGATTTGTAGCCATCATCTAGCCAAGCCCAGCTGGGTGCAGTCCAGTGTTTAAAAACTGTTACCTGTATCTGATGCAATGAGGAACTGAGCTCCACAAAGAGCTTAAAAATAGCATCAGGTTTCTCTCCTGTTGGTAATGCATCCGGTTTAAAGTGGGTTCAGATGTGGTTGGAGGCTTGAAGGGGAGCATCCCTTGTGGTCTCACCAAACCCTGCACAGGGTCTTAAAAATCATGGAAGGGCAGAGGTGCTGAGAAATAGTCTGGCAGTGGCTGCTAGCCTGGATTTCGTCATGGTTCATGTTATTTATAAAGGTAACTGTTTGGACAAGTGCAGATTAACAAATACAGAGGAGGAAAGTTTTACAGGTCAGAGCTGCCACCTGCGTGTATTTTCTGTGTTCTTGGCAAGTGCCTGGCTTGTGCTGGAGAGCCTCAGCCTTGAAATGCAAAGCTGGTCTGAATTCTCCTGGGGTGGCAGGTAGCACGTACCGCTGAAACACAATTAGCGGTATTTACCACCCTGTCAGGGTTGCAGTGTAAATGGTGCTTAGTGTCGCCTAGAACTGTGGTGTCAAATTTAAGGGATTATAATCGTAGCTGGTGATGTGTCCGGAGAGTGTGGTGCTGCATCTGCCAGTTCTCTTTCACTCTGAGCTTGCTGAGGTTGCTTCCCTGGGTGTAGTAATGCTTCCACGGTCCCAGTGGCCTGGCACATCCTTTGTGACCCTGCACAGGATCCCTGGCAGAGAGGGCTCCATCTCATGCTGTTTTTGACTAATACCTGCTGTCTGTCTTCCAGCTGCTCATGCTCCTTGGCACCGCTGATGGTCAGTTGAAGCTGACTTCTGAGCAAAATGCCATCAGCCTCTCCCCTGGCAAGTACCGCCACCTCGACCGTGCCACCAACAAAGAGCTGATCTGCGACAAATGTCCTGCAGGAACCTATGTGTCTAAACATTGTACAAAGAGTACCTTAAGAGAGTGCAGCCCTTGTCCAGATGGGACCTTTACTAAGCATGAGAACGGCATAGAGCGGTGCCACCCCTGTAGAAAACCTTGTGAACTGCCAATGATTGAGAAAACTCATTGTACTGCCTTGACTGACCGCGAGTGCACTTGCCTGTCTGGTACATTTCAGACGAACGATACCTGTGTCCCTTACACGGTGTGCCCGGTCGGCTGGGGCGTCCGCAAGAAAGGAACCGAGACAGAAGACGTTAGGTGCAAGCCGTGCCCTCGTGGTACCTTTTCTGATGTGCCTTCTAGTGTGATGAAGTGCAAAACATACACTGACTGCTTTGGGAAAAACATGGTGGTCATCAAGCCAGGGACAAAGGAGAGTGACAATGTCTGTGGCTCTCCAGCGTCTCTCCCGAACACATCTTTGACTTCGTCAAGCACCGAAGTGGGTGAAGAGCCCTATGAAGCTCCACCTACTGCCCAGCTTCCCAAAGGTAATGTCCACCACTGAACCATGGATGTGCTTCTGGTCGCAGCATTGCATTTCTGCATTGGTCATAGTTGGGTGTAGTCTGTTAAAGGGCAACCTAGTTTAAATTGTGGGTGGTGCTTTTGTTTCTTGGCCAGAAGGCAGCTCCAGAGCGCATCAGATTGCACTCACTTGTGTTAAACTGCATTTAATAACGTTTTCGCTGAGACTGTAATCATGATTGGACTTCTGGGTGTCCAACTGTTTGGTCTGAAAGGACATCATGTTGTCCAGCCTATTTTCTTGTCTGTGTTGTGCTGGCTCAAGTCTCTGTGCATTTGTGGCAAACCTGAGGTGCGATGCAGCAGGAAAACCCAGAGAGGAGAGGAGCTTTGCCCTACCAGACTCCTTCTCTGATGAATTCACTGCTTTCATGCCCATGCTTTCCTTGCTTCGTTTCCCCCTGTACTGAGCCGGTGTGTTGGCTTGAATGGGAACCATTGCTAAATCAGCTGTCTAGGAGCCTAGGCTGTCCCATAACACTTTTTCTTCAATCCCTAAGGTTTCCGTTACTTATCACTGGTGGGGAGACCCAGATTGAATTCCCTATTCTCTTATTTGGAAATGGTACATCATCACAGTCTTTATTGAGTAGCGTTAGCTGTAGCTAGTTGCAGTGGTGCTGTAGGACCCCATTTGAGGCGGTGCTCAGCAATCCCTGGGAAGCAGCTTCCTTACAGTGTCTTGGATAGGGCATTCTAATTAAAAAAAAAGTGCAACTTTTGATGGCCTGAACACCTGAGTTGGTAAATATGATAGGGAAGTGTTGACAGTAGTAGACTTCCAGTGCCTCTTCCTTGTTAGATCTAAAGATTGATAGGACATTGGTGTGTCATTGGGAAAGGACACGAGGGTGTTCCCTGAACTTTGAAGTCAACTGTAGACAATTAGGTAAAAGTTAAAGCTTTTTCCCTGTTTGTATCCTGGTCAGAGTGTTTTGGGTAACGAACTCAGAGGCACAATCTGGTTACAGATGGTAACACCCACTCTCTGGCTCAGCTGGGATGAGACGTGATCTTCGGTTTCCAAAGCAAGCTCTAGTTTTTGCCACAACAGCCCTTCCTTTTCTCACCAGGCTTTGGTCATACATCTGGCTGGGACCTGAGAGCTGTTGGTTGAAAAGAAAATTCAATAAAGATGGAAAGTAGCTGTTAGGGGGAAGTTTGGTTTCTTCTGTTGCTTCAGAAACCTGTTTTGTAGTTGATGCATCCACAGCTACTTGCAGTGCTGATAAAGAAGCTTGTGCTTCCTTAACAAAACCCAGTAGAGACATACTAAGCCTCCAAACTGTCCTGTATTTTTAGCCCAAAAAACCAAATTCCACAACAGGAGTAAATCTAATGTTCATAAACCTAAGAAAGAAAAAACAGCTTTCTCAGAAATACTGAATGTGGGACAAACACAGATTGACAACATGCCTTTAATAACTCTTTTTTTTAATTAGCTGCCACTAGTCTTAACCAACAAGGGTCAGTTTTACCTTGAACCTGTCTCTGTAACTGTACCCATCTGTTCCCAGAGTCAAACCTCAATTTCACCTCTTCCCTTTCTCGCTGTCTGGCGTTGGGTTTCTGTCTGCTGGCCAAGCAGATGCTCAGGCAGGTCTTAGACCGTGATGTGATGCCGTATCGCATCTCCGGTGCCGTGACACTGAACTCTCCTCTCTTTTTGCAGGTCTGAACTCTTCAGTTCCCGATTTTGTCCCCTCTCCAGTGCCACACATGTCCAGCGGCATGGCGGCCAGCTACTACAACGAAACCTCAGCCAATGAGACGGATAGCGCTGGTGGGACCCTTGCCGGCTCTGGTGCCACCAGTCAGGCACAGAGCTACCGGCACAAGCAGACCAGCCAAGGGTTGGAGAAGCAGCCATCACTAGAGATGGTGGGGGGTGAGAAGTCCAGTGTTCCGTACAGACCCCCCCGGCGAGGTCCACAGAACGTCCACCAGCACTTTGACATCAATGAACACTTGCCATGGATGATTGTCCTCTTCTTGCTGCTGGTCCTGGTGGTTATTGTTGTGTGCAGTGTAAGAAAGAGCTCACGGACTCTGAAGAAGGGGCCCAGGCAAGATCCCAGTGCCATTGTGGAAAAAGCTATTATGAAGAAGTCCACCACCCCCACGCAGAACAGGGAGAAGTGGATCTATTACTGCAATGGGCATGGTAAGCAGTAGTGCCTGGGGGCTGCAGGGGGGGTAGCGTCCTCTTCAGTGTCCTGCATGGTGCTTTAGGGGGGCTGTCTCCACATCCAGTGACCCGTCGTTTCTGACTTGCTGGGTCTTGTTGCTAGGACAAAGCCCATTGACTGGTTCCTTGGATGTTTCTTCATCCTTGACTTCTCCACTTTCCTGTTCCCACGGTGTGTGCCTGTTCCTGAAGGAAGGGTTAGTGGAGGTGATGTCACCTACTCCCTGCAGCTCCTTTCCTTCTTCCCACCATCCTTGGCAGAAGGATGTTGAATGAAGGCTTATTTTCCCTCCTCTCCATACCTCTTTCCATTTTTCTTGTTTTGCATACTCCTTATTTTCTTGGTGACTCAGGCATCGGTCTGGTTGTCTTTTGTGTCTTCCTTCTTCCCTCACCCCATCTGTTTCTGGAAGGCTGACTCATCCTGTGCCTCTTGGCAGCGCCTCAGTTTCAGGTTCTTAGCCCTAAATCCTGACTGCTGGCTTGTGTTCCCAGTCCTTTGCCCATGCTGGAGCCAGGAAGGTTGTCCTTAAAGGGTGTGTCACAGCTCCATGAGTGTCATGAAGTCTTCCTGGAAGCTCTGCTTTTCTAATGTTTTCTGTTCCTCTGGTGGATGACTTGATGTCAGCTTTTTGATGAGGCTTTCAAGATGCCTGGTTGTGGTCATGATATTGAGATTTGTGGAAATCAATAGTAAATTAATGGTGGCATGTACATGAGCACTGAGCAGCTGTGATCTCCCTAGTAGGATGCATGGCTCTTCCTCTGCAAAGCTATGGTGGCAGTTTTGACACCCCTCCGCCCCCCTTATCCTGTGTAGACAGCACTGATGCATCTGTACTTCAAGCTGAGGTTGCTCAACCTTAAACATCCGTTCACAGTTAACCTTTAGAAAAGCACATTTAACAAGGGGGGAGGCAAATAAAGAATGGATTGAAAAAAAGATTGGAAGATTTACGAGATAAGTCTTTGAAAGTCATCCTTGAGTGCGTAAGTGCAAAGCAAAGAAGGCTTTGAGTAGGGCGTATTCTGTCATGTACTCTCCTCTCCTTCCTGTTGATTAATAGACGTGCCCTTTGTTTGCCTTCATTAATGCATTTATAGACCCAGTAAGGTCTTGTTGGAATTAGTTTTCTGCCTTCTCCTGTGTTTGTGCTACTTGCCAATTTCCTTTTAAATCTTTTGAATTCTTGAGGTGAGATTTTTTGAGCTTTTTCCATTTGTGATAAGTTTTTCCAATAACACCTGCACTCTTATCTTCCCTAAAATCTATGGTACCCAAAGCATGGTCCTTGAGGCTATGGTGAGTGATCTTCAGTGGAGTTTCAAGAGTTATTGGACATCCTTATTTGTGGGCACCACCAGAAATACTACATGGCTTTGGCCATGGTTCACTGGCCAAAAGCAACTGCTTGTTAGTAACTTCGCGTAATTTTTTTCCCCCCAAGACCTAATTACATGTTGGTTGAATTTCTGACTCCTTCCTGATTTTTGAAGCATGTCAGATCAGGAGCCGAGTTTGTATAACCTGTTTAGGTATAGCCCATTAGGTATAACCTCACCTCCTGGACCATGTAATCCTTTGGGGAACAGCATAATCCATGGGTCATCCTGTGCTTCCCATGATGAGTTGTTCCAGTCTTCCCTGTCATCCTTTAACAGCTGAATTCAGCTAGTGCATCAAATTCACAAGGTATTTGTTAAGTTTTCCCCTTGTCTTGGGAAATAAGGTGGATGTAACAAAGCAAAACCACACTTAGGTGATAACTGGTCCAAACTTGGTCTGATCAAGTCTCTCAGGTCAGGAGGCAAATTGCTCTGATATTCTGGGTTCCTGGACGGGCAGTTTTGCACATACCTCCCAGTCATTCTAGCAGCATTTACGCTGGTTCCATGTTGGCATGAGTGGCTTCATGACTTCCTCATGCCACAGAATGTCCTCAGTTGAACTTTGTGCAATGAAGGCAGACAGACAAGCACAAACCAGTTAATGCTTTGTCTTGCTTTTAGTGCAGCTCTGGTGCTGCCCTAATTTTGTTGCATTTGGCAGTACTGGAGTAACAGTTGGACTTGGTGATCTTAACGGTCTTTTCCAATCTAGTTCATTCTGTGGTTAGCTGAAGGGGCCTTGCTCATTAGTTCTTGCTTGGTAGTGGTGCTCTGTTGTGTCAGATATGGCAATTGTTCTGTGATGGTGTATAAATCCCTCTTTAGTTTTCTTATTGAAACGTCTGGCTCTTAAGACTGTTTACTTGAAATGAGAGAAGATGTAGTGCCATGAAGGAATTGACCTTTTACTTAATAACTGGCTGTACAGCTAAGATGTACTGCAGAGCTGCAGCATCATAGCTTAGCTTTCTGCTGCTCTAGCAGTGTTTGTACCCAAGTCATGCTTCATCCTGAAGCAGTGTTTCAAGACAAGGATGAATATAGCTAGGAATAAGCTCCAGGCTGTTGCAGAGAGGAAATCTTTCCCCTCCCGTGCTGCCAGCACGGATCCCTCCATTGTAGGCAGCCAGAGCAAAGCCTCCATAATGTGAGGACCGCAGCTGCTCCCCACATCTTCAGGTGTCAGCCTGATTTGTGGCTGCACTAGGCGTGTGGAGGGCAAGCAATTCAGCTTAAATCTGGGGGCAAAGGCCCAGGGTCTGGTGCTGGCAGTGCACCCACATCCATATGACCTCCCCAACTGTACGTTGGCTGGCCACGCCAACAAGGGGCTGGGGCGTGCTTATCGCCAGGGCAAATCCTGTGTGCGTAGCTGTTGCACACAGTCTCCCCCCAGCTTCTTCCTAGTTTACAATCTCCTCCCTCCTAATCCTTTCAGTAAACAGCTTTAACCTTTGAAAGGGAAGATGGGGTCTGACGTAGGCGCTGCAGCCTATGCGTGGATGAGATGTGCTTGGGTGGCTGCCCTCACACTGGCACCCCTCAAGCCTCCCATGGCACCAGGTGGACCTCCAAGGCATTGCCTCTTTGGAGGATTGTATTACTGTTTGCTTCAAGCCCATCACTTCTGGGTGAAGCATGGTCAAGGTGGCACTAGTACTGCTAGGTGCTGGAACAAAGACATCTCACTGTGGTTGGGCTGCTTCCCCAAAGAAAAGGATTTTGGAGTGGAAGCAGTGGCTCAAACTCTTGCCCAGCCCCTGAAGGCACTTGCTATACTGAATTGCTTAAATAGTTGAGATAAGTGTGCGATCCTGAACAGCAGTTGTTGTCATGGGGCGTTTCACTTGTCCTCATCAACCCGTGAGCTGGTGTCTATGCTCTGTGCTCTCTCTGGACATAGTACATGCCTTAAATAACAGCCCAAACCTAAAAATAGCAGTAGTTTAGGCGGCTGGTGTTAACACTAGACCCGTGTCCAGCCAGGACAGCAAATGCCGACAATTGTCACTGGATTAAATGGTTCAGAGGTCTGGGAAGAGCTTGCGAAGACTAACAGCCTGACTTAGCAGCCAGCCTACCTCCACATGTGTCCTTATGTCTGTCTGCACAACAGGAGATCTCCCAAGAGCCCCAAGGTCTCATCTACACAGGATAGGGAAGGTAGAGCAACACCAGCAGTGCAGTTGTGGTTGGAGAAATTAGACCTGTTTTGCTGCTTCAGCTGGCTCTTGCACTGTAGACCTGCAGATGGGAATCCAAAGGGGAAAAGTAGTTTGCCAATGGTTTCCAAAGAAGTTATCGATGTGGTGCCTGAATTACATGGTACTGGGCTGATAGTGCTCTGTGGTTTTAACCTTGTGCAACTACTTTCTTTCAGAAGATCAAGAATAGCCTACACACTGGAAACACTCTGTTCTAAACAATCTCTTTATTTGAGCAAATATCCATTTCCTTTCTTCAGCTCTTTCCAAGGGTAAGGAATTGATCTTGCAGAAACTTTTAAATTAAAATTGAGAGTTGAAGCCTGTCTCTTGAACATCTTGGAAATGCCACCTTTGGCATCAGTTTATGCCAAACATGAAGATGTGCTTGAAATCGTTCTGCAGAAATTGCTGGTATTTTTACCTTTGATTTTCACCCATTAAGTAGCAGAGGATGAAAGGCAAATGTGTAAAATGTTACAGGGTTTGGGTAAAACCTGTATAGAAGGAGCTACCTGAAGTGATGTGGCAAGAGGCAAGAGAGCTTGGTGATATATTTTTTCCTGGAGTTGAAAGACTGAAGAACAGATCTTGGCAGCACTGGCCTGGCATGAGATGCCACCTGCCTTTAATTTTTCTTCAAGTCTTATAATTGCACATTATTGCAGTGGGTGATGAAAGTGAAGGGAGGAAGCCTCTGGTTAAATAATCAGAGAAATAAACTGTTCTGCAAAAGCTGTTTGCAGCTGAGATGGAGCTGAGTCTTGACTGCAAGTAGAAGACCATGTACTGAAAATGGCTCAGTGGGGAGTTGAGGGGTGGTGCTGCAAAGATGCCGAGTGTTAGGATTTGAGGTTCTTGGTTGCTCAGTTGTTGGGATGCCCAGTTGCCAGCACGTTGGGAGCTAGGGTCTTCTTGGTTGGCAGTTCATAGGGAATAGTCCTTGGTGTTCAGCTTGGTTGGTGTAGAACTAGGGCTAGGCTTGAGCTTGTTCTGCTCCCAAGAAAGTCATTGTTGAAGAGGGTGTTACTTCCTTGTACCTCAGAGGACCTGATGCTGTAGGTCCGAAGCTTCCCCCTGTGAATATAACCAATGCATGTGTTTTGGCAGTATGTATCAAGATGTCTGGATCACTGTGGGCTTGTCCTTGTGGAATTAGATACTCATTTATGGTTAGTGTTGGAAGAGGCTTACTGCTTGATTCTTTTGCTTTTAAAGCTGGTTTTGTTTTGTAGAGGTGGTTTTCCCTTTGATCAGCTCCTGAACAGGTCGCAGCTTGATGTCAGGAGCATCACACTGGGAGTCAGGGTGAGGATGGAGGAGCTGCTGTGGAAACACACCCCTGGGGCTATCTGCAGAGCACAGGGATGAGCAATGGGGTTA